TCAACTCCCACATGATGCCACAACCACCAGCTAACAGTCCAGCACCTGTAAATCCACCAACTGTTGCAGTTCCGCCTGCTGATGCTACAACCACCAGCTAATCGTTGAGCACCTGTGAATCCACCAGCTGCTGTTGGGATCAACTCCCACATGATGCCACAACCGCCAGCTAACAGTCTTGCACCTGTGAATCCACCAACTGCTGTTGGGGATTCAACTCCCACAGGATACCACAATACCACAACCACCAGCTAACAGTCCAGCACCTGTGAATCCACCAACTGCTGCTGGGGATTAAACTCCCACATGATGCACAACCACCAGCTAACAGTCCAGCACTTGTGACTCCACCAGCCGTTGCAGTCCCGACTGCTGTTGCCACAGCCACGTGCTAACAGTCCAGCACCTGTGAATCCACCAACTGCCGTTGGGGATTCAACTCCCACATGATACCACAGCCACCAGCTAACAGTCCAGCACCGGTAAATCCACCAGCTTTTGCAGTTCCGACTGCCGATGCCACAACCACCAGCTAACCGTCCAGCACCTGTGAATCCACCAACTGTTGCAGTTCCGACTGCTGTTGCCACAACCACCAGCTAACAGTCCAGCACCTGTGAATCCACCAACTGCTGTTGGGGATTCAACTCCCACAAGATGCCACAACCACCAGCTAACAGCTCAGCACCTGTGAATCCACCAGCTGTTGCAGTTCCGACTGCTGATGCCACAACCACCAGCTAACCGTCCAGCACCTGTAAATCCACCAACTGCTGTTGGGATTCACTCCCACATGATGCCACAACCACCAGCTAACAGTCTTGCACCTGTGAATCCACCAACTGTTGTTGGGGATTCAACCCCCACAGGATATCACAATACCACAACCACCAGCTAACAGTCCAGCACCTGTGAATCCACCAACTGCTGTTGGGGATTCAACTCCCACATGATGCCTCAACCACCAGCTAACAGTCCAGCACTTGTGAATCCACCAGCTGTTGCAGTTTCGCCTGCTGATGCCATAACCACCAGCTAACCGTTCAGTACCTGTGAATCCACCAACTGCTGTTGGGCATTCAACTCCCACATCCAGCTACGTTCGTCCTTCTTCGAAAAAAGCCTCGCGGCAGCGGGGCGTGTGTGTGAACCATCTGAACAGATGTAAAACTTCTACCTTGATTGGCGGAATTGTTTTTCCTTATCAGGTTCTTTGCCATGAGTATTTTACCAGGCGTTTATCCAATCTCCTTTTCATTTGCAGGGGGTGGTAGCAGGGTCCAGAGTCTACCACCAACGAAGACACTCTGGTTTCCCTGGTGATACATGGCCTGATCAGCCATGCGTACCTGCATTTCCAATTTTCGTCAATGGCGACCGGCTAAGCCAAGTACCGGCATGTCGTTTTTAAACCTTTTCAAACCAAACAACTGTACGGTTTTCGCAATCTGACTGAGCTGCATCAGAACTGGTAAATCCTTCGAGCAAGGACGTAGAAAGATTTCCTTCGCACAGTTTTTCACTTCCAATCATTTAACCTTTCCTGTCAGGTTTTACTGAAGTGTTTTTGCACGTGTGATGCATTCCACATCAGTAATTCGATAAGATATTTCTGAGCAAGTGTGTGCGTTTGTGTGGGCATCAAATACTGTAGCATAGAATGCGAGATATGTACATCTCTCTACATCTAAAATTCTATGTGTACGGATGTGCATGTGACAAATGTAAATACAACTGTATATATATATATATATATATTCAGGGGTTGCCACAATTATAGAACGGAATTAGGAGTACAAAAGTACGGTAAAATACCGTACTTTCCTACACCTCCGGATCCCGATTCCGCGCGGAATCGGATCCTGTTCTATAATCAATTTTGAGCTGTAACACGCAGATTGTATGAGTCTGGGAGGTTACTTACATGTATTTACATCATTTTATGTATTTTTCTGGGACGCCGGAAGAATGTGCATAGAAACCAGAATTATAGAACGGAATTATTGCAAATTTAATTATAGAACACGCAATTATAGAACAGAATTGGTACATGTGGGAAATATGGGGGAAAACACAATTATGGAACACAAACAAGAATTATAGAACGACAAAAACGTTAGGAGTAAGTTGAAAGTAAGTTTTCCTAACGTTCTGAGGAAACAGGAATTATGGAACAACAGGGTACGTACGGTAAACAACCGTACTGTCGTACTCCTCGACTTCCGTCCTATAATTGTGGCAACCCCAGTATATGTGATATATAATCATACCAGAAAGTGATCATATATAGTCTCCAAGTCTCGAATCCCCCGTGTGTTGCTCCTAGGGGGGGTCCAACCCCTGAAATAGTAGTCTCCACTGGCTGTTTTCCAGACGGGCCTGACCCCCCCATACCCCTTTTGAGCATTTCTGAATGGATAAAATCTAGGGGCCCAAGTATAGCATTTGTAAACCAAACATTTTTGCTAACACTCAACTTGGACAAGGGTACCCATACTTTGGAGCATTTTGGACGTTCAAAAATGATCAAAGGTCAGGCCCCTCAAAATATTTTGGGAATGTTGTGAATATTTAGGACATACATTTTTTTATCTGTGAATCTTATGAAACCATGGACCTCCTGGATTTTAGCACTCGTTTTTTTCTCCCCTGCGTGCCACAGATAAGCTGGCCACTTGAAAGGTTCTCAACAGAGATAAAGTTGACAAACATGTCACAACTAACTTCCCAAGAAAACAATTTTTGAACACCTTTAATGCCAGTTTTTTGAGAGAGGTTCATCTATCAAGGTTAGCGGATACAGATGTTATTTTCAAGTTTTCCCTCCAAGCTTCAAGAGCAAAGATTGGACAAGGTGAGATGTTGGTTTCCAGGATTTGGTAGCCTTTTTTTTGGAATCAATTTCAGTGTTTGTCCTTGATGTGCAGGTTAAAAATGGATTTCAGTGAGGAGACTTTGTTCTGGATTTGTTTTTTTTACAAATATGGTATATAAATAAAGGTAAACATTTCAGAACCGTCCCAAGTAAATAAACTTAGTGCAACTTGTTTTGATGCCGACTTGCAGAGGGGTTGATATCTCAAGGTTGGGGACACAGGTTTTATTTCCTGCGTTTCTAGCCTAGCACCCCTCTAAGTCCAAGCAGCTATCCAGGAGCTGAAGGTGGACCGGGTGAGACGTTGGTATCCAGGATTTGGTTGCGTGTTTTTTTGGATCAATTTCAATATTTGTCCTTGATGTGAAAGTTCAAAACAAATGGGTTTCAAGAGGAGAGATAGTATTGACAGGGTTTCCGTTTCCGTGGTGCGAAAGCTGATAAACATGTCACGCGTTTCCCAAGAAAAAAAAAGTGCACCTTTGGTTGATGCCAGTTTTGCAGAGGGGTTCATCTATCAAGGTTAGGGACATAGATTTTATTTCTTCTTGGTTTTTCCTCCAAGCTTCGCCCCGCTTGGTCGAAGCAGCTATCCGGCAACAGAAGAAGTACAGGATTTGGCAGAATTTTTGTTTGGGTCAAATTCAATATCTTGACATATCTTGACCTGAAAGTTCAAAAACAATAAGGTTTCAAGGTGAGGAAATGTGTAACGGTGAGTTTGATAAACATGGCAGCAATGCTCAACAAAATAAACTTTATGCACCTTTGTTACAGTTTGACGCCAATTTTGCAGGGGATTTTATCAATTTCATCAATCAAGGTTGCTGTTTCTTCCTTTCCAATCAAAGGTGTAGGTTGGACCAAAATTGAAGGGGGCTGACATCTGAAAATAAGATAGGTACCAAGCCTCAAGTAGGACAAAAAAAAAATCAAAGGCCCAACCTTACAAAGATAAAATCAACGGGTTTGACCTGAAATTGGAATGAGATAAAATCCAAGGGCTGGACCCCCCTTGCGTGGACCCCCCTTGCGTCCCTCTTTGGAAGGGAGTACCCTTGAAGTGACCTATGAGGGGTCTAGCCCCTTGGAATTTATCTCACACTTATGATCGAGATAAAATCTAGCATGTCTGCAAGGGACCTATCGTCAAATTTACTAAAAAACTAAAAAATAGCCATGCGCCCCAGGGGCTGGAGCTCCTATATCTCAGCTGGGAGCAAGCAACGGGTATTATATTTGCAAAATCTACAAAAGCAAAGTTGAGCAAGAAGTGGCAAACACTTCCAGGTGGGTCATTGAGAGAACATTGTTTTAAGCTACTTGGTTCCATCATGTCGCATGTATATAATATGCATAATATTTCTCTCTCTCTCTCTCTAAGAATCTAAGCGTATGAATGGATGTGTATGCGTGGTGACAGAACGGTGTTGTGTTCCAGCAAAGACAAGTGGCCTGCAGAAAATGCAAAAGAAGCAAGCTGGATGGCTGGATGATGGCTCTTGTGTTCTCATTTGGGGAGAAGATGACCTGAATTTACCGGATATCTTGACTAAAAGACAAAACGTTCCGAAGGATCAGCCGTTTGCCGCTAGCTTGACTGATACTAATACATAGATACTTCTTACGATGAATTGCCATGAAGAACGCGACAATACAACTTTCAAACGCGCATTCGATTTTCAATATCTTGTCATTGCCATGGGGAAAGGGTTTTAATTAATAACATTCATGTGGCACCCAAACAACCCACATGCACAACTGAATCCCAAGTTAAAGGTGGCCAAGCCCAGGCCGCCGGGATGCGCTGGGATTGTTTTATATAATGCACACACACTCATATCTATATCATTCTATAATATTCTATATCTATATATATATACATCTCTATATGCAATTATTTATATACATATCTCTCAATATCTTTATCATTCCTTATCCATTTTCGATCCAAACATATCCAAACTTTCTACAGGAGATAACAGGCTTGTGTGAGCAACAGTGATGGGCAATCTAGACTTTTAGCACTTCTAGGACAAGGCCGGGCGGGCAAGGCAGGGCAATGCGCCTACGAAAAGCATATTTTGTTCCGTGAGCTCTGTTATGCTCTGTTTAAGTCACTGGCACAGTTCATCAAGATGCGTCGACGAAACATGTCCTCAAAAATTGAAGCAAATGTGCCATCTGCAACGCGTACTGCACCACCAATGAGTGGAAGGACCGAAATACACCCAGTTGGATTATATGGGCCGTCCTTGCATGCAGTGTGGGTCATCATGTTCAAGGCGGCTTTTGCCATGTTCGTGTGCGGGTGGCCCGAGCTCTTGTTTTTCACCGAAAACTTTCCTTCCAAAGCACCTGGGCAAGCAGAAATCACCGCTCAGCTTGGCTTCTTCAGCAGCCAGCTTCACTTCGAACAAGCTAGGCGTGATATGGCGTGATCAAACATGCCTTCTCGTCTCTTCTTGAGGTCTGATAATTAAACTGCCGCAAAGTGACTGACGTTGACAATGTGGCCATATGGCCCGTCACCCTTTGGCCCAATCACCTCACCGTGCAAAGCAAGCAATGGCATCTCCTGCGAAATACACAAACTCGTGGACCTCAATATTTTCAAAGTGCTTCGTGGAGAATCGTGTGGAATGCTGGCAGAATATGCAGACTGGGGCACGCCAGCCAGTCTGCTACATAGAATGAATGGCGCTGCAGTATTTGCGGCCAGTGTCTGTAGCAATTCGACGGTTCCAACCTGAGTGATGGCCCCGGAAGCGACCTGCGAGTGGACGACAACAAGTTTTACTGCTGCAAAGCTGCGCTCTCAATGCGTCTGGACCTTGGAAAACTCAGTTCAGCTGTATACGAATGTGATCAAATGTGGCATTTGCATCACTGTGCACGTATGTTTTCATATGCTTTCATTGTATTTTGGGGTGACCTCATGACTCACAGATCTCACAAAGACTTTGACCTAGCAGATTTGTCAGGGTCTGTCGAGTCACGCCCTTGATTCAAAGTGCTACACGCAACGATTCAACGACCTAACTTGACGGCGAAGAGTCCAGCTGTTGGTCATCGAGCGATCAAGAGGTTGGCGTGATTCATCTAGTTCACCCTCAGGAAAATCCTACAGACCGCATGTCCATCAATTGACACATGGCCCCCCCAGCAATTTATAGCGCACAACACTAATGTATTTATCGGCTGTAAATTTGGAAAGAGCAAGGTTTTTGGACAGTCATAATGCTGGATTGGAATTTGGTACAATGTTCCTGCCCCATGAAACTACTTGGGATGATTCCACCATGAGTCGAGGTATATATACAGAAGGGGGTGCGAGTCAATCCACACGCTCTACAGGACGAAACCCTGCAACTACTTGGGAGCCCCAGAAAGATGCACTCTGAGGGAGTGACAATGGGAAATCTCGGGCTTAATCAAAGGAGTGTATCGTGGAATCAATAGCCTGACAGTCTGCCAGGCCTCCAGTAGAGCGGTTTCCTTCCACAAAGCCTAAGACAAGGATGGTTCGTGGGCATGGTAATCATGGTATACTGAATGGCACATTGGGCTTGCAAATTGCGGCGATCCAAAATACAAAACGCCAAAAAACGCTCAGGGGAGCTGAAGGGCTTGGACGTGTTCTTGCGAGCTCAAGCTGCTCCGATCCAGACGTGATCGCCGCATCTCCGATGCGCTCAGGGGATCGAATTTCAAGACCCCTGGCCTCTGCAAAGGATTCCATCGGTTTTAGAGCGTCTTAGATGCAATAGAGTTTTGAAGAGTAACACACCTGCCGTGATACAGTACTAGAATGTACTAGACTGGGCAGGCAGCATCGTGGAATGCACTGTTGCGAAAGTGGTTGAGGCGCTGCGGCAGTACCCGAGCAGCATTACTTTGATCACAATCAGGCAAAGCTGTGCAA